CAGCGTGTCAGGGGCGAAACGGGTCACAGAACAGGAGCAGTATCCAGGATCACATAAAGACCTTGCGGCAATGGGTGACAGTGCAGGGCACTTTAAATAGTGCGCCCTGCACTGTCATTGGCTGGCTGGGCCGCGCCCCGGCTGTCATTGGACGCCTGAGGCGCGCCCTCGACTCTCTACTGCGCATGCGCGGCGTCCTGTCAGCCGCGGCTCGCCGCTAGTGCGCATGCGCGGGGGGACGGCGCCGTGATGCAGGATTCCGGCGCCGTGATCCCTGACAGCCACACTCTGCCATGTGCCACTTTCAGGTCTCCTCACACTGCTGGTGTGTTCCATTTTGTCATAGGGTGCTGGCAGATTACGGGCCTCCCATTGCTGCTGCCAGGCCCGTAATCTGCCATGGGGCCCCCGTATCCGCCTCCCTCATGCTGCTGCTCAGGTCCAGAGTGTCACATGGTCCCTGTACGGCCTCCCATTGCTGCTGTCTCCCATCGCCAACAACACTCTCCTGTAATCTGCCATGGGCCCCTGTACCGCCTCCTCATGCTGCTGCCAGGTCCAGAGTGTCTCATGGGTCCCTGTACGGCCTCCCATTGCTGCTGTCTCCATCGCCACACTCTGCCATGTGCCACTTTCAGGTCTCCTCACACTGCTGGTTGTGTTCCATTTTGTCATAGGGTGCTGGCAGATTACGGGCCTCCCATTGCTGCTGCCAGGCCTGTAATCTGCCATGGGCCCCTGTACCGCCTCCTCATGCTGCTGCCAGGTCCAGAAGTCTCTCATGGGTCCCTGTACGGCCTCCCATTGCTGCTGTCTCCATCGCCACACTCTGCCATGTGCCACTTTCAGGTCTCCTCACACTGCTGGTGTGTTCCATTTTGTCATAGGGTGCTGGCAGATTACGGGCCTCCCATTGCTGCTGCCAGGCCTGTAATCTGCCATGGGCCCCTGTACCGCCTCCTCATGCTGCTGCCAGGTCCAGAGTCTCTCATGGGTCCCTGTACGGCCTCCCATTGCTGCTGTCTCCATCGCCACACTCTGCCATGTGCCACTTTCAGGTCTCCTCACACTGCTGGTGTGTTCCATTTTGTCATAGGGTGCTGGCAGATTACGGGCCTCCCATTGCTGCTGCCAGGCCTGTAATCTGCCATGGGCCCCTGTACCGCCTCCTCATGCTGCTGCCAGGTCCAGAGTCTCTCATGGTCCCTGTACGGCCTCCCATTGCTGCTGTCTCCATCGCCACACTCTGCCATGTGCCACTTTCAGGTCTCCTCACACTGCTGGTGTGTTCCATTTTGTCATAGGGTGCTGGCAGATTACGGGCCTCCCATTGCTGCTGCCAGGCCTGTAATCTGCCATGGGCCCCTGTACCGCCTCCTCATGCTGCTGCCAGGTACAGAGTGTCTAATGGGTCCTGTACGGCCTCCCATTGCTGCTGTCTCCATCGCCACACTCTGCCATGTGCCACTTTCAGGTCTCCTCACACTGCTGGTGTGTTCCATTTTGTCATAGGGTGCTGGCAGATTACGGGCCTCCCATTGCTGCTGCCAGGCCTGTAATCTGCCATGGGCCCCTGTACCGCCTCCTCATGCTGCTGCCAGGTCCAGAGTCTCTCATGGGTCCCTGTACGGCCTCCCATTGCTGCTGTCTCCATCGCCACACTCTGCCATGTGCCACTTTCAGGTCTCCTCACACTGCTGGTGTGTTCCATTTTGTCATAGGGTGCTGGCAGATTACGGGCCTCCCATTGCTGCTGCCAGGCCTGTAATCTGCCATGGGCCCCTGTACCGCCTCCTCATGCTGCTGCCAGGTCCAGAGTGTCTCATGGGTCCCTGTACGGGCCTCCCATTGCTGCTGTCTCCATCGCCACACTCTGCCATGTGCCACTTTCAGGTCTCCTCACACTGCTGGTGTGTTCCTTTTGTCATAGGGTGCTGGCAGATTACGGGCCTCCCATTGCTGCTGCCAGGCCTGTAATCTGCCATGGGCCCCTGTACACCTACCGCCTCCTCATGCTGCTGCCAGGTCCAGAGTGTCTCATGGGTCCCCTGTACGGCCTCCCATTGCTGCTGTCTCATCGCCACACTCTGCCATGTGCCACTTTCAGGTCTCCTCACACTGCTGGTGTGTTCCATTTTGTCATAGGGTGCTGGCAGATTACGGGCCTCCCATTGCTGCTGCCAGGCCCTGTAATCTGCCATGGGCCCCTGTACCGCCTCCTCATGCTGCTGCCAGGTCCAGAGTCTCTCATGGGTCCCTGTACGGCCTCCCATTGCTGCTGTCTCCATCGCCACACTCTGCCATGTGCCACTTTCAGGTCTCCTCACACTGCTGGTGTGTTCCATTTTGTCATAGGGTGCTGGCAGATTACAGGGGCCTCCCATTGCTGCTGCCAGGCCCGTAATCTGCCATGGGCCCCCTGTACCGCCTCCTCATGCTGCTGCCAGGTCCAGAGTCTCTCATGGGTCCCTGTACGGCCTCCCATTGCTGCTGTCTCCATCGCCACACTCTGCCATGTGCCACTTTCAGGTCTCCTCACACTGCTGGTGTGTTCCATTTTGTCATAGGGTGCTGGCAGATTACGGGCCTCCCATTGCTGCTGCCAGGCCCGTAATCTGCCATGGGCCCCCGTACCGACTCCTCATGCTGTGACGTTGCAACAAGGTGGAATTCAACCCTACCATATGTTAACCGCCTTTACGAACAGCGAAAGGCCATCACCGATTTCCTGATGTTACAATCGGATAAGGTACTCCCCTGTGTAACTTAGATGTCATCCATTGGCAGCTCATGCGTGACACCTGCCGCTTGCTCAGGCCCTTTGAGGAGGCCACGCTATTCGTGAGTCGGCAGGACTATGGGATGAACGACGTCATTCCTCTGTTGCACGTCCTGGAACAAATGCTGTTAACAATGGCTGGTCAGGGTGCGGTAGACGTGGCGCACAGATCTCAACGCCACATGACCCCTGTGGGGGCAGGACAGGAAGAAGAGGAGGAGGTAGAGGAGGACATTGGTGCTCAGGAATTATTGAGTGAAATGGGTGGTTTTTCCACTCAGCGGACAGGAGTGGAGGAGCAGGAGCATCTGGTAGAGGAGGAGGAGGAGACAGAGGACCCAGACGCACCGTGGCAGTATGCTGTGGAGATGGAGGCAGGGAGTCCCTCGCATTCCTTGGCACAAATGGCCCATAGCATGCTCGGTTGCTTGCGTAGCGACAGCCGAATAATAACCATCAGACAGAGGGATGACTTTTGGCTGTCCACCTTGTTGGACCCTCGCTACCGTTCAAAAATGGTGGCCTTTTTCACACCTGCTGAGAGGGAGGCCAAAATAACGTACTATAAAAAACCACCTATGTAGTCAGTTGGTCTCTGCCTTTCTGCGCCAACGTCCATCCTCAGACACTGTGGGCCCTGTGCACTCGCGTTCCGCTGCCATGGCCTGGCAGCAGGGGAGGGGTGGGGGTGGTAGGAGCAGTGGCAGCTCCACCAGCAGCGGCTGCCTCAGTCTGCAGTCGATGATGAGTAGCTTTCTTCACCAGCGCAGTGAGGAAACTACTAACCAGCCGCAGCAGCAGCAGCATCAGGTGGACCTGGAGCAGGACCTCAAACAACAGGCTCGGGCCTACTTGGACAGCACCCTGCCAACCGAGGTAGACAATCCCCTTGACTACTGGGCAACGAAACTTGACCTTTGGCCCCAACTAGCTGAATTTGCCCTTGAAAGGCTGTCATGCCCGGCCAGTAGCGTGGCATCGGAGCGCGTGTTTAGTGCGGCAGGAGGTATTGTAACTCCGCGGAGGACACGACTGTCCCACCCAAAGTGTGGAGAGACTCACGTTTGTGAAAATGAATCAGGCGTGGATTAGTCTGGATTTCAAACCACCAGTTCCTGACACAACTGACTAAATCCGCCATGAATCATGCCCCAAACATGTTATTATTTTTAACATAGGCCTCTGTATGGCCTTCAATTTAAGCTGCTTACGCTTCGCCACTCTGCCATGGGCCCCTGTACCGCCTCCTCTTGCTGCTGCCAGGTCCAGAGTGTGTCATGGGTCCCTGTACGGCCTCCCATTGCTGCTGACTTCATCGCCAGACTCTGCCATGTGCCACTTTCAGGTCTCCTTACACTGTTGGTGGGTTCCATTTTGTCATAGGGTGCTGGCAGATTACGGGCCTCCCATTGCTGCTGCCAGGCCCGTAATCTGCCATGGGCCCCCGTACCGCCTCCTCATGCTGCTGCCAGGTCCAGAGTGTGTCATGGGTCCCTGTACGGCCTCCCATTGCTGCTGTCTCCATCGCCACACTCTGCCATGTGCCACTTTCAGGTCTCCTCACACTGCTGGTGGGTTCCATTTTGTCATAGGGTGCTGGCAGATTACGGGCCTCCCATTGCTGCTGCCAGGCCCGTAATCTGCCATGGGCCCCTGTACCGCCTCCTCATGCTACTGCCAGGTCCAGAGTGTCTCATGGGTCCCTGTACGGCCTCCCATTGCTGCTGTCTCCATCGCCACACTCTGCCATGTGCCACTTTCAGGTCTCCTCACACTGCTGGTGGGTTCCATTTTTGTCATAGGGTGCTGTATGGCCTCCCATTGCTGCTGCCCTCCACCGCCACACTGTGGCTCCACACTCTGGTTTTGGCCCCGTGACTGCCCAAATGAGTGAAGTGTGCGGTGATTCTAAGATCGACGGCACTCATCTGCATGTCATACTGACTGACAGTATTATTTCTCTTCCCCAGCAGACTCCAAGGGCATTTAAATTAAAGGTACAGTGTTCTGCACTAATATAAAGGCTCTCTGAAGCCTAGAAAACCCTTTTTATAAGTTAAATTCGCAGCGAATATATTCGCATCGAATCGAATTTATTCCTCGAATTCGCCGAATCAGCCGAATCGAATTTTTGAATACTTTGCTCATCATTCTCTAGTAATGACAGTTGTATACAATGGATGGCTTCATTAATGCCATCCATTGTATACTAGTGTCTAGCTGTGAATGGTCACAGCTAATCACATGCACATGTCAGGTGATTAGCTGTGGCCAAATCAAAACTAAGCACAAAAAAAAAAAAACCCTGAATTAATCGATGTCATTCAGGTAAATGCTTGCTTATAGCAAAGTAATTCTTTGCTATAAGCAAATTGTGTAAAAAAAAAAAAAAAAATACTGATCACTTCCCCAAAGTAGTACAATATTACTATGGTAACATTGTACTACTTTGGTCATAGTGAAATATGAAAACAAATCTTAAAAAAAGAAAAAACATTTAATAAAAAATAAAAAATAATAAAAAAAATAAAAAACTTTTTTTTTTTTTTCATACTGTCACCAGTCAGTGTCCCTGATCACTGCCATGCCAGTTATATGATGATGCTGTACTGCACTGGCGACAATATGTAAAAAAAAAATAGTGAAACTAATTTTTTTTAATTTTTTCATTTTCCGAAAAATTATGACAAAAAAAATACAACTTCAAAAAACTCGCCATGCCTCTTATGAAGTACGTCGGACTGTTTACTTTGCAAAAAGGGGTCATTTGGGGGATATCTGTACTATTCTGACATTCTTGGACCTCAAGAAATTAGATTGGCCGTCAGTACTTCAGGATTGATCAATATTCAGATCTATACCATAGTTTTTGAACTCTATAACTTTCCTACAAACTAAAAATTACATCCTAATTTGGGTTATTTTCACCAAAGACATGTAGCAGAATACATCTCGGCCTAAATTTATGAAGAACAATTATTTATTTTCAAACTTTTATAACAGAAACAAAGAAAAACGTGTGTTTTTTTTTCAAAATTTTTGGTCTTTTTTTGTTAATTTAGCAAAAAATAAAAACCCCAGTGGTGATTAAATACCACCAAAAGAAATCTCTAGTTGTGTGAAGAAAATGATAAAATTTTAGTTTGGGTACAATGTTGTATGACCGCGCAATTGTCATTCAAAGTGTGAGAGCGCTGAGACCTGAAAACTGGCCTGGGCAGGAAGGTGTAAAATTGCACGGTATTGAATTGGTTAAACACTTCCCCTGTGACACCTGTACACCTCCAATGCACCAGAGCAGTTTTTAAATTTCTGCTATGGACCTGTTTATTCTGCAGTAACATTGTCACTACTTAAAGCCTAAGTATACTTAAAAATAAATAAATAAATACATAAATCAGCAGAAGGGATATTACTTACCTTTAATGTGATGGAGGGGGCTAAACTAGGACAAAGCAGCACAAGGGACACAACATACTGAAGGTATGTATTATCCTGTGGGCTGATTTTTTATTTTTTTTAAGCAAACTTAGACTTTAGGACAACAAAGTAGTACATGTATTTTTAAGGACAAACAAGGTTTTCTTTTTTGTGATATTGTCTTGCATAAATCATTTTTTCCCACAATCCTTAGACAAAGAAATTAACAAAACTTAAAAAAAAAACTTTTCTTATTTTAACCAGTGTTAGTTTAAAAATAAATAGTGTTACTGTAGATAAAAAGTATACTGCCCTAAACCTGTTACTAAACTACTCTGCGTAAGATAGATGGGCTGTTCAGGTTAGAAGAATTCAAACTAGCTGCCAAACAGCTCAAAACAGGCAAAAGCCTGTGGCCAGATGGTTTCACGGTGGCTTACTATGAGACGTTTTTAGATAATTTGGCAGGTCCTTTCCTCCATGCATTCAATTCTGTCACTGCTACTACCCTTTCAAAGTATGGCCTAGAAGCTCACATTTCAGTTATACCGAAACCTGAGAAAGATCTGGCGTCTGTAATAAATCGATATCTCCTTATTAAATGTTGACAGAAATATATTCGCAAAATTTCTGGCCAACTGTTTGCCAGTGCTACATACTCTTATTGCCAAAGATCAGGTGAGATTTATCAAATGGAAGAGAAGCCTGAGATAACACCATTAAAGCCCTCAAATTTCATAATTGGTTCCTTACCTTGAAGCAGCAAGGATTCTTCCTATCCTTAGATGTGGAGAAGGCCTTTTATAGGTTGGCCTGGAACTACATGACAACAGTCTTACACTCAATAGGCATTCCAAACCGCGTATATAATTTCATTATGCCCTATATGCTATTCCAACAGCCCGAGTACAGGTCAATGGCCATCTATCAAACATCTTCTCCATTCACAATGGACGGGACAAGGATGTCCCCTATCACCCTTGCTATTCGTAATAACACTAGAACACTTCCTGCGCCACCTCCAAGTGTATAGTGGCATCAAAGGCCTAACGGTAGCAGATCGACCATACAAACTAGCGGCATTCCTCACAGAACCCCATATTGTGCTCCCTTATTTACTGAAAGACTGTGAACTTTCCAACACCTCTCCAATTTTAAAATTAACTTTTTTAAATCACACGCCCTTAACATTACCTTGCCTACTTCTGTTGTCATGCAATGTCAAAAGAGCTTCCTCTTCATCTGGCAATCAGATGCTATCACCTACCTAGGTATCTAACTCTATCTAACACTTGTCTCTCCGATCTTTACTCAAAAAATTTCCTACCTGTCTTGCACACCTTGATGGAAGATCTCCATTGATGGAAAAAAACATTTTCTCTTGGTTTAGCTGAGCAGCCATTCTAAAGATAAAATATTATACCCCTTTATCTTCTTCAGGAAATCCCGATAAAGTTACCTCCCACATGCTTTAGCTCCGATAGATGACTTTGTATGACCTTCTTATGGATCCCTAAGTGGCCTAGAATTGGATATGGCCAACTAACCCTCCCCAAACAGAAAGGAGGGATAGGTCTCCTCAGACCTGCATAATTACTATTGGCCTGTCACTTTTCATGGATCATGGACTGAACTGGACTGCCCATTGACGAGTTAAAGAATGAGTAACCCTTGAAAACTTTTTTTTCATCCCTCTCCTTAGAGCAGGCATGTCCAAAGTTTACGGCCCGGGGGTCGGTTTAATGCGGCCCTCCAACTGCCCTCCCTGCTCTGTGTAATGTGGCCCTCCCACGGCCCTCCCTTCTATGGCAGACAGTCTTCTGCTTGAGAGCAGAGGGCAGTGCGCATGCCTGACTGTGGCGCGTTCTCCCTGGTCTGTGTAAATGCGGCTGTCGCACGGCCCTCCCTTCTGTGGCAGACAGTCTTCTGCTTGAGAGCAGTGCGCATGCGTGACTGCGCCGCGCTGGGAGAGACAGAGGGCGGTGACGTCAGGGCCGGGCTTCCAGTGTGAAGTGTGTTTCTCTTCCCCTCCCGGCTGCCGAGCAGAGACTTCAGCTCCAGCTACCTTTTTCACCCTTCACATTAGTGCAGGTAAGTTTTTTTTAAATTTATTTTCAATACATTGTGAAAACTCAGCTGTCAGTTGATCTTAATGTTATGAAATGAAAAGTATGTCGTTTGCAATTAACTTGGCATAAAATAATTTATTTGCATTTAATTGTAATGGTTCAAAGAATGTTCGGAAAAATGTTCGGCCCTCCACCATGTTCACTTCATCCGATCTGGCCCTCTTTGAAAAAAGTTTGGGACACCCCTGCCTTAGAGTCTGCCTCCTGGCTGTTGACAACTCACATCCCTCCCTCTTTAAAAGATCACCTGCTCATAGGTACTACACTGTCATGTTTCAGGGATTTTAATGTCAAACATGGTCTATCCTCGACTATATGACCTTTAACACCTGTTCATTTGAATCCGGAATTCCTACCTGGAATACCCAATACTTTCTCTTGGGTGTAAACCCAGCCCCTTCCTTAGTGCCCATCACTTCATCTGGAATGGTAAGCTAATGTTAGAGCAGAACTTATCTCACAATGGCAGGACTCCCCTTTACCAATGTGGACCTATTTGCAACTTAGTCATTTTCTCTGATTCTCCAATGCAATCTCTCGGCCCCTTACTCCCTTTGAGAGCCTCTGCTCCAAGACCACACCTCAACAGCATGGCATCTCCTCGGGTTAATACTCTTCTCTTCTTTAATAAGCCTCCTGTCAGGAATGGACTCAGCACTGGTGGTGGGACTCACCTGCCGTGTGGGCTGCAGTACCAGAGCTGACCAGCGGGTGCTCTCAGCAGCCAGAAGTTCACACGTGCAATCAGCCAAATTGGGGCTGATTGCAGAAAGCTGTATTTAAGGCATGACCAGGCCTGTGCTCTGGGCCTTGGGGTGTATGTTTTCCCATGAGCCTCTGTACCTGGTATCCTGTGTTCCTGCTTCGTTGCTGACCCGGCTTGATCCTGACCTCTGCTGACCGTCTCCTGTTGAACCCCTGGCTTGCCTGACCATCCTTCTCTCTGATCCCCCTGTGCCGTGCTGCCCGTGAGTTACTGAACCCGGCTTGTGACCTTGACCATTCTCTGCCAGCTCCTTTTGTACCTTGCTGCCCGCACGTTGCTGACTTGGCCCGTCTGACCACGCTAACTACTCTGCCATCCATCCATCCTGCATGGATCCAGCCGTACCTGCACATACCTCTGGCGGATCCCTCTACCACTAGCAGGTGTACTCAGGGGCCGCGACCTGGTTCCTGTCTGCTCCAAGTCCATCCCCACCATCAGGGGCCCTGGTGAATAAGCAGACTGGGACTTAGACTCCGCGCCCTGGGGAATCCTGTCCTGGGGACCACTAGAGGTACCACCAAACGGTCATTACAGAACCCTACGGCCGGCCTGACCGTTCCACCTCTTCAGCCCTGACTACGCCTGTGTTCCTGCACCTACTAAGATTAGTGGAAGGTTGGTTTGTTCACTGTGCGTTTTATATATATATATATATATGGGTGGCTAATAATAAACTGTATTATTATACTATACCTGAAACCTG